GCGGGGCGGCGGGGTTCCCTCCCAAACGCCGGGGGACGGGCCGCGGGGTCGGTCGGCGGCGGGGGTCGGTGGTCGGGGCGCGGGGGTGCGGGGTTTCTGGCGGGGTAGGCACTGCGGGTGCGGGGTTCTGGTGGCGGGGTTGGAGTGGCGGAGTTGCAGGGGCGGGGTTCTTCCCCGGTCGGGGTCGCGGTGGCGGGAATGCGGTGCGGGGGCGATGCGGGGGCGGGGTTGCGGGGGCGGTGGCGGGCCGGCGGGGGGGGGCGGCGGGGTACTGGGGGCTGGGGCACTGCGGGTGCGGGGCGGCGGTGGCGGGGTTGGATGGCCCGGGCTGCGGGGGCGGGGTTCTTCCCCGAGCGGGGTCGCGGTGGCGGGAGTGCGGTGCGGGGGCGATGCGGGGGCGGGGTTGCGGGGCCGGTGGCGGGCCTGCGGGGTTAGGCGGCGGGGTACCCGGGGCTGGGCGGCGGCGGGGGTCGTCCGGCGGTGGCGGGGTTGGATGGCCCCCGCGGCGGGGGTCCGGGGGCCGCAGCCTCACACCGGCTTTGCCCCCGGGGATCCCCGCTCGACAACGCTGACTAACTCTTTGGATTTGCAAAAATTTCGGCAGCGTTTCCCGTAGAGAAAGTAGCTTACCAAAATTTATACAAAACCAAGTATAACAAAAGATCCCAGAAAGTGCGAGAATCGATTTAAGCGAGGCATAAAGTCAGGTCACCCAAACTTATGGAATGAGGCTAACTTAGCCAAAGTATACACAAACACAAGGCACAACAACTTTTCTCTTCTTTGGACATATGATTAGGTCATTCTAGTCGCCCTGAACTGTTTAAATTGTCAAGTTATATATACCTATCTGAACTTAATCTTCAAGGTGGGCATAGGACTGAGCCATTCATCTTAGAAACAATGCTCAATCGGCCCAAGTTACCTTCTGTTCTACTCTTAGTTATACTCTCTCCACGTTGTGATAAACTATAGTCAGGCCACCCAAACTTATGGGACCCTGCCTCACTAGCCTGTTCATAGATACAATAATAATAAAATATAGAAAAATTATAACCTTTGGGTTCCACCATGTGTGAGCTTTGAGTCAGACCACCTAAACTTACAGAACAGTCTGGCTCTCTGCGTGATTCGTTTCTCTCTTATTCAATCTGTACGTGGCATTGGGCTAGATCACCTAAACTTATAGAATGGTCAGCCCTCTGTCAAGTTCATTTTCTCAGAATAAAACAGGAAGAGGTTGAGCCACCTAAACTTATAGAATGGCTCAAACCTCCTTGTTCAGAACCAAATAAACAAAGAAAACCCCCAAATAAACAAGGGAACCAAGGCACCTGAACTTACAGAATGCCCGTGGCCCCTGAAAAAGTCAAACACAATAAGCCCTCGCAAGTCAGAGCAACCAGACCGCCTAAACTTATAGAATGATTTGATTCTCCATGCAAATCCACAGCACTAGGTCTCCCCAAACTTATGGGGACTTGCCAGCCTCCAGAGCAATCAGACCACCTAAACTTATAGAATGGTCTGACACTCCACGCAATCCAAAATCAACATAGCACTGGGTCTCCCCAAACGTATGGGGATCTCCCAACCTTGATAACCCAGTCAAACCTCGCGCAAAACTGCTTCTCATTCTGCCCTTTCCCAGATGCAATCTCTTTTTACAATCTGCTTTCACACAATCAACAAAAACTGAAACTGAGATTGCACACACATTCCTTTACTTAATCTGGTTTAAGTCTTGAAAGTCAAACCAAAAAGTCAGCGTAGGGATGCATGCTACATACTCGGTTAAAACGCAACAGGCAGTACAGATAGGGGCTATAATTTAGGTTTATAGCGGGAAAGCAATTGTTACCTTTCAATTCCCTGCCTCCAGAACCCCTCCTGAGTTCCGGCAGAGCTCCCACAATCGGTGGGTTGACTCCCCACAGAGTCTTGCTGCGGTTCTACGGGTTGCAATCCCGCCTGTCGCCTTCCTCTCAGATCAGGACTAGACTTAGACTTAGAAAGACCGAAAGAGGAAGTTTGAGTCGCTCGGATACAAGAGGGGTATACTCAGACTCGCGGGAGAGGGTCTTGGTTCCTTGATGCGCCTGAGGGCCCCGCAATGGTGGCCAAGTAACAACGGCTTGGTCAACCTAAAGTCAAAATGCTGAACTCAACCCACCCGACGAACACCCAATTCGCAGCAATAGCCCCTTTTTTGGAAGCTGACTCCTTTTTAATTTCCAAGGCCACGACGTCATCTCTCCTAACCGGACTCCCGTTAGGCGGCCTTGTGGGACAGCGGTCATATAAAGTTCACCCTTGCGCTCTATTCGAGCTGCGAGCAAAAAAAAAACGCGACACCTTCAATCAAAGTAGCCCGCCTGTTTTTAGCGACAATGTACAGTGATTCATCGCCGCTCTTCGCCCCGCACGCCCTTGCACGAGCAAAACCAATCATACTAGTCGCAACATTCGTCACACCGGCCGAGACAGTGGGCTTTCGAACTGAAGCACCGGCAGCATGACTTGCTGCAGTCTCCCCCGCGTTGACAGTTTCCCACTTTACTTAGCACCCCGTCAAATAGTGCCAATTGCAATAGAGGGGCAAAACCATAGAGGCTCGCGGTTGTGTCCGTCAATTATCACATCAGACAAACCACCCCACGAACTAAAGGATGGCCAAACATCATGGAATCAGGAAAGAGTTCCCCATCTATAAATCCTTGTTATGTTTGGCGCCATTAGATTTGGAGTCATCGTGTGACATACATCTAGATTCGATCTTTGACACTTCACGGGTGTCTTGGCCAACTCACCCCCCAAAATTTT